CTATAGAAAGTGGCAAATGGCTACAAAGAAGGATCTTTCATTATAGAGAGCCATTTATTATTAATTTACCTGCACACTATTGCATTTGTGAATAGGAGCTATTTCTCTTAATTTCTATTGATGATTCCTACCTTAACATCTCACCTACTTTTTCTAATATTAATATTGATACAGTAGCTTGGTTTTGGGTTAGTGTTTACCTGACACTTCTTTTCCATCATTTTACATCAAACCTTTCTATGTCCTTACATATTTGATCTGCCCATTGCAAATAATGCAAAGTTGATGTTATTCTTTTTTCTTATGTAGATTGACAATTATTACTTTTCTGGACAATTTGATGTATTTGTATTTAATGTAATCACAATATATTTTGAATTTATGTTTTCCACATTACTATGGTTTCTATTTGAGATATTTATTTCACATTTTTCCTTCTCTTCCATTTTGATTAATTTCCATTTTAATTAGTTACTCCATTCCCTCCTTGTTAACTTATTAATCATACATTATTATTATTTTATTGTTTTTCCTGTCTTTTGTGTAACAATTACTTCTTGCTTTCTTTTAAAAAAATTTTATGGAGGCATAACACAAATTTATCACTTAAAGCATTTGAGATGTATAATTCAGTGGCATTCGGTACATTCGTAATGTGGAACCATTACCAGTGTCTCATTCCAGAACTCCAAGGAAGAACTATTGACCCATTAAGCAGTGGTTCTCATTTTCCCCTCCTCTAACCCCTTGAAAACACCAAACTTCCTTGTCTGTATGAATTTGTCTATTCTGGAGATTTCATGTTAATAAAACTTTCAAATATATGAGCCATTCATGGCTGGCTTCCTTTGCTTCACATTGTTTTTAAGGTTCATTCATGTTGTAGCCTGTACCAGTACTTCATTCCTATTGGTGACCAAATAATATTTCATTGTATGAATATATACATACAACATTTTGTTTATCTATGCATTCATTGATGAGTATTTGGGTTATTTCCACCTTTTGGCTATTGTTAATAGGGCTGCTCTGAATATTAGTATGTTCAGAGCAAGATTTTGTCTAAATACCTATTTTTAATTCTTTTGGGTACATACCTAGGGGTGGAATTGATAGGCCATTGGTACTTCTGTTTAACTTATTCAGGAACAAGTTATTTTCCACAGTGTCTGCCCATTTTACATTCCCACTAGCAGTGTATTAGTGTTTTAATTTTTCCACATCTTTGCCAGTACTTGTTGTTTTTCATTTTATTAATAGCCGTCTCGGTGGTATGAAGTGGTATCTCATTGCCATTTTGATCTGCATTTCCCTAATGACTAATGTCATTGAACATTTTCTAGGTGCTTGTCAGTCATTTATGTATTTTCCTTAAGTGAATGTCTATTCATGTTATTTACCCATTAAAACATTTTTCTTTGTCTTTTGTTGTTGAGTTATAAAAGCTCTTTATGTATTCTGCATACTATATCCTCATCAGACACATGATTTGCAAATATTTTTCCCCATTCTGTGGGTTGTGTTTTCACTTCCATGATATTGTCCTTTGAGACAAAAAGTTTTTAATTTTGATAAAGTTCAATTGATCTGTTTTTTCTTTTCTGACTCGTGTTTTTGGTGTTATATCTAAGAAACCATGACCAAAGTCAAGGTGATGAGATTTATTTCTATGTTTTATTCTAAACTTTAATAATCCCAGTTTTTATATTTAGATTTTCAGCTCATTTTGAGTTAAATTTGTATATGGTGTGAGGTAAGAGTTCACCTTTATTCTTTTCTATGCGGCTATCCAATTGCCCTATCACCATTTGTTGAAGAGACTACTATTTCCACATTTAGTGGTCTTGGCACCCTGGTTAAAAATCAGTTGATCATACATGTAAGGGTTTATTTCTGAACTCTCGGTTCTATGGATTGATCTAGTTATTTATCTTTATGCCAATATCAGACTGTTTTTATGATTGTAGCTTTGTAGTACATTTGCAAGGAAGAGTCTGGAGATGGAGCTATGTGGAGAATATGGGCTCTGAAAAGTTCCTGCATATATCAAAGATCTAGAAGGCTACTCGCATGCTCAGGTGTAAACAATACTTAGAAAGATCTGAAGAGACCCTATGCTTTTACCTGTGGCTAATCTCTGGGATTCATGCAAGCAATAAGTAATCAAAAGGATGCTCCAATATAAAGATAATCTGCAAAGATCAGGAGAGCAATTTTTTGCTCTTATCTTATTTTGCCTTTCTTTTTCTCTTCCTTTTGGATCCTGGAGGCTAAGAAAATCTTTATGAAGTTGCCACTGACCCCTAAGCTAACAGAACCTTCAATGATCACAGATGTGAAAAAATATAGTCTTTATGAAAATAGCTTAGATAAGTTACTAACGGAAGAAACAGCTATCATTCACAATGAGCAGCAACAACAAACCCTGGGGATGAAGGAGAATTTGATTTCTTAAGTTAGCATATTATATAATATGAAAAATGCCCAGTTTGAAGCAAAAATTGTGAGGCATATGAAAAACAACACACACACACACAAGAAACTATGACCCATTTACACGAAAGAAAGAAATCAACAGAAATTATCCTGGAGGAAGCCCAGATGTTGGATTTACTAGTGAAAGATTTTACTTTATTTTTTTTTTTATTAAATCATAAACAGATAGATCAAGTATACATTAATGCATATATGGGGTACAATGCACTGATTTCACATACAATTAGGAATGCTTACATCACACTGGTTAATATGCACCTCATCTAGTTTACTTAATTATTGTGTTAAGACATTTATACTCTATACTTAATAGATCTGACATGTACCCTTGCAATATGCACCATAGGTGTGATCCACCATTCACCCTCATCAAATCAACTTTTGAAAATATGGTCAAAGAACTAAGGAAATCATGGGCAAAGAATTAAAAGAAACCAGGAGAACAATATCTTACTGAACAGAATATCAATAAAGGGATGAAATTATAAAAAAAGCCAAATGGAAATCTTAGAGTTGAACAGTACATCTTTCATTCTTGACTTATTAGTGTCAAATGCATATTACATTTTTTTAAAATAATGCTAAAACCATAGGAAACTCTATCTCCATTAAAACCTCCTCTGTAACTTACTTTCCTATTTTCATGCTTTTTAATTTTGCTTATAGTTAAGACTCTACAATGCATAACTATGAATGTTTGTGTAGTTAATATTCATGATTTCATTGCTATCTTTACTATTTCGGTTTTTTAAAATATCATTTTGAATCACTGTGGTTATTCTGGGTACTTGGAAGAAATTTCTTTAATATTTGTTTTGGGATAGACGTGTTGATGATAAATCCTTTCAAATACATTCTTTCAAATAAATGTCTTCATTTGTCTTTGTTGGAAAGATATTTTCAGTGGTTTTGGTGTCCAGAATTTACAGTTATATTTTTTATTTCCTTCAACATGTCATTCCATTGTCTTTTGGATTCTCTTCTTTATGTTGAGATGGCAGCTGTGAATCCTGGTCCTTGTTCCTCTGCCCTGCTTGGAGATTATTTTTATTACTGCTTCAATCTTGCTACTCATTACTGGTATGTTTAGAATTTCTATTTCTTCCTAATTCAGGCCCGGGAGGTTGTGTGTTTCCAAAAATTCATTCACTTCTCTAGATTTTCTAATTTGTGTGCATGGAAGTATTCATGGTAGCCTTGGATAGTCTTTCATATTTCTGTGATATCAATTGTAATGTCTCCTTTTTTGTCTTCTGACTGAGCTTATTTGAATTCTTTCTCTTCTTTTGTTGGTTAACATAGCTTGTAGTCCATCTATTTTATTTATCTTTCTGAGAAACTTATTTTTGTTTCAGTTATCCTTTTTATATTTTTGGTTTAAATTTCATTCAGTTATGCTCTGATCTTTGTTATTTCTTGTCTTCTGCTAGCTTCTGGTTTTGTTTATTCTTGTTTTTCTAGTTCCTCAAGGC